TACTATATGTAATAGGTCAGCTATAATAAAAGCAAGTAATGATTGTAAGGTTTACATGTCTGTCTGGCCGGGTTCATCTGACCTTGACCTAATTTTCATGGTTCATTGATCAATGTTAAGTTTTCCTGGTTAAGTTTGTTTCTTAGATACTATCGTGCAATAGGTCAACTATATTTAAATAGATATAAGAAGATGTGGTATGAGTGCCAATGAGACAACTCTCCATCCAAGTCAGAATTTATAAAAGTAAGGTGTACATGTCTGTCTGGCCGGGTTCATCTGACCTTGACCTCATTTTCATGGTTCTTTGCTCAGTATAATGTTTTAATGGTTTTGTCTGTTTCTTGTATACTATAAGCAAAAGATCAATTATATTTGGTGTATGGAATGATTTTAAGGTGTACATGTAATTCTGGCTTGGTTTATCTGACCATGACCTCATTTTCTATGATCATGTTAAGTTTATGTGACACTTGTAGTAAAACTTTATATTTAGGACAATCAGCATATAATCAATGGTCAGTAATGCATGCAAGACATTTCAGTGTGTGCACTCTTGTTTCCTACTATAACATGAAATAAAAAATTTCCTGTAGATTCCTTGATAAATATTTTAATTTCTGAGTTAAAAAGGCAAAGGTAAAAAAAATTGAAATCCATTAAAAATATTCTACTTTTGTTAAATATAAGATATTTTTATGCCCCTGTCGTCAACGGAGAGGGCATAAAGTGTTACCCTTGTCCGTCTGTACGTACATATATACGTCCCAAAATTGGTTTCTGTTCTCTAACTTTTAGATTGCTTCAACCAAATATTATGAAACTTGTACACAATGCTTATTACCACAAAACACAGATCAAGTTAGAAGTTAGGTGGCGTCACTTGTACCATTCTCGAGTTGTGCCTCTTTATAACGATATATTCTGGCGGTGGCATCATCTATGTCCCATGGACACATTCTCCATTTATCTTTAAGTACTAATAAAATTAAAAGCACATAAATTTGTTCTGTTAAATGAATTTTCTAATTAGGGAGCTACCATTTGATTTTTAGGGGGGGGGGGGGCCTAGGATGAAATTAGAAAAAAGGCAGAAAGTGCAAAATAAAAAGGCAGGACAGAGATTACAACTAAAAAAAAAATGCAGGACAAAATTTTTCATCCTAGCCCCCCCCCCCCCCCCCCCCCCATAAAAATCAAATGGTAGCTCCCTTAGTAAATTACATTCCTGCATTTAAAATTTGCTGACTTGATTGAAAATATAGACCTCGTGTGTTTTTTTACAATCCAAGATGGTGGAGATCTCCCATACAACCTTAAACCAAATCTTTACCCTAAAGCAGCATTGATGGACACAGAGGAAAACATGATAACTTCTTCTATAGTCAGCGGGGCATAATAAAAAGAGATGTTGGGTACACTTCTGAGAAAGAGACGGCAACTTAACTGCACAAATAGTAAAAAAACTATTAAGGGGTCAATCCACAATCGTAATTGGCAAATCATGGTTAATTTATATTTCTATACAATATGTCAAGCCAAAATGACCAATCTATAAAAGTAGTGAACAAGTTTAACAGACATTATCAAAGATCTGCCATCAACACCAAATTCTTGATGTACACACTTTTTCAAGAAGATTTTGTTTCCCTCTAGCAAAAAATTTTCTTTCATAATTAAAATATTATATACACAGCACAGAATCCACTTTTGTCATTCTTTGCCTTCGCAGGAGGATAAAATGGGTATTTGGGTCAAAGAGAATATTGTTGAAGACGATGTCATTTGGTTGTTTGTTTAAAACCAACTGATCCTAATTACCATTGTCAGCACAGTGCTACAATCAACAATGTCATTGGTTTGCACTAAGATCTGTCTCTCTAATGTTGATGAGCCTTATCGGAGTAGAAAATATAAGTACTTGTCTTGTATGAAGATAAAGAAGACTTCTTTGTGAGTTGATACTTCAGTGTACCAACTTAATATAAAAAAACGTTCAGTTTTCAACAATTATTTGTGAACCCAAACATGCATGTGCATACACAAAAAAACTTAATTCATTTAAACATACACAAGCCTTTAACAAGCAAAATTGTCAAATGTCAAATCATACTAAAAGAAGCTTAATACTGTAAGGGTCCTTCATATAACTTTAATTTTCGACATAAATTCTTTTTCATCTCCCCTTTTTAGTTAATTTTGTGAAAATATCTTAAAATGACAACCTATCTATTTTGAAATAAACTGTTGACACAGATATGTAAAGGCTGTATGTAATTTTGACAGAAAAATGCATGTAAAATATGCAAAGTATTCAAAGTAAATGAACCATGATTGAAGTTAAGTGCAAAATAATTTGCGTGGAAAAAAATATATATGCTAATGCTAATAAAAATATATCAAGTATCATTGACGTATCATAGGTCAGTTTCCCTTTAAGCAAGGATTTGTATACAAATCCTTGCTTTAAGTGATCTAATCACAATCTTTAACATGTAAACTTGTACCTGTAGAAAACTTATTTTAAGGATATCACATCTTAATTTTTACGGTGATGTTGTTTACAAGCCTGGAAATTTAGATGCGATCTAGGTAAACTTATCGATCCTTTAAATAAACTTATTCTAAAAGGTTACCAACTCAACACTGTAATTCGATCTTTGAAAATTAGTTTTTATTGGTATAAATATTGAATTTGTTATCAGTAAATTAAAACCAAACTAATATTATTGTTATATACATATGCACATTCTGACACGGTTCTACAACGTGTTGATACCTGTATTTTGGCATTGCACAAGGTCATGTTTTCCTCTGACTGTTAATGATGTCTTTACACTTAATCCATTGGATGTTGGATGTGTTTTGTTACTTGTTTTTCTGCCTTGTATCGATCAGATGAGCTGATCCCTTTTCAACTAACTTTTATAGCTTGTTCATATGTTGTGCTGTTACACCACTGTCCCAGGTATGGAGAGGGTTTGGGCGCCCACAAACATGTTTAACCCCGCCACATTCTATATGTGCCTGTCCCAAGTCAGGAGCCTGTAATTGAGTGGTTGTCATTTTTTGCTGTTTCTCATATTTGTTTTCGTTCATTGTTTCGCATAGTTTGTTCTTGGTTGTGCCTTACACCTCTGTCCAAGGTTAGGGGGAGGGTTGGTGCCTTCAAATATGTTTAACCCCACCACATTCTATATGTGCGTGTCAGGAGCCTGTAATTGATTGGTTGTCATTTTTTGTTGTTTCTCATATTTGTTTTTTTTGTTCATTGTTTTGCATAGTTTGTTCTTGTGTTGTGTTGTTACACCAATGTCCCAGGTTAGGGGAGGGTTGGTGCCTTCAGACATGTTTAACCCCGCCACATTCTATTTGTGCCTGTAGTTCAGTGGTTGTTGGTTCATTTCTGTCAAATTTGTTTTTTCGTAAATTGTTTTGTTATATATTAGGCCGTTAGTTTTCTCAATTGAATTGCTTCATATTTTTCATGTCAGGGCCTTTTATAGCCTACTATATGGTATGGGTTTTTCTCATTGTTGAAGGCCATAGGGTTGCCTATAATTGCTAACATCCAATTCATTTGAACTTTGGTGGATAGTTATCTCATTGGCAATCATACCAATACATGTTAACTAAGCAAAAGTTTCAAAGTCAATAGAAGATGACTGAGGGGACAGGGCTAAATAATCTCCATATAAATGAGATGTGCTAATGCTTATACAACTGCATACCAAATATCATTGACTTACCATTAGTGGTTCCCCTTAAACTGACCTAATAAAAAAAATTTAACATACAGTTGACGACGCTGGAGACAAGCATACTCAAGTCTCAATTTTGACTCTGTCAAAACAAGAGAAAAATATCATAACAGATTAGAAAGCATTAATATAAACAGTACCTTTTGAAATTTTAGAATATGCTTTAAAATATGCCAGATCTGAACTATATTCTATTCCTTTTTTAGTCCCCTACTGACGAAGTCGAAGGGGACTTTAGGTTAGCACTCCGTCTGTCTGTCTGTCTGTCCATCCGTCAGTCCGGCAAATCAGTTTTCCACACTTTTTGTCTTCATGCTTGATGATATTGATTTGATATTTGGTGTATTTATTATCATGACAAGTTACAGAACAAGTTCGAATTTTGTTCCGTTCTGACGATTTTGTGCAGAGTTATGGTCCTTGAACTTAGAAAATTCACTCAAGTAGTCAGTTTTCTACACTTTTTTTTGTCATGCTTGAAGATATTGATTTTATGATTGGTATATAGTTTTATCATGACAACTTACAGATCAAGTTCGAATTTTGTTCCGGTCTATTTTGTGCAGAGTTATGGTCCTTGGACTTAGAAAATTCACTCAAATAATCAGTTTTCCTCACTTTTTTTCGTCATGCTTGAAGATATTGATTTGATAATTGGAATATAGTTTTATCATGACAAGTTACAGATCAAGTTCGAATTTTGTTTTGGTCTGATGATTTTGTGCAGAGTTATGGTCCTTGGACTTAGAAAATTCACTCAAATACTGTAAATACAGAAATTATTGCGATGTTTTTATTATTGCGAAAAATGCGACGCAATAATTTAAACTCGCATTTTGAAATTTGTTGTATGAATTAAACAGGATTTTTCTCATTATCGCAAAAATTAAAATCGCATTTTAGTCTAAAATGACAAAATCGCAATAATAAATGCACGCAATAATTTCTGAATTTACAGTAATCAATTTTCCACACTTTTTTTAGTCATGCTTGAAGATATTGACTTGATATTTGTTACATAGTTTACACCATGACAAGTTATAGATGAAGTTAGCATTTTGTTCCAGTACAATGAATTTTTAACCGATAGGTGACTATGTATTGCCAGGCAATACTCACAGAATGCTTGTTTATTATACTTTTTACAGAATTTTGCTGACTAGCTCTTACATGATTAAACTGTTAAGACTGAATTTTCAAGACGGCAAATGAATAATAAGTGTTTTAAATGAACTCAGATGCCATTATGAATTATTTTTATTCACAAGTCAGAAAAGGAAACTATAACATGGGATGCTAAATATTGAACTAATTTTTAACATTTGTATTAGACACATATTACTATTCCTCATATGTAAAGTTTTGAAAACAAAAAGAACAAAAATATCCAAGGAAATATCAGAAAACCTGAAAAATGTAGTGGGCCACTCTGTCATAATTTTCTTCCCAAATATGAAACAAAATTCCCACAATACTTTACAAACTGCTGTTTGATATGCAGGAAATATTTACTTTATCTTATAAGAAAGAAAGTATTTTCTTGATGAAATCTTCATCAGCTGACCAAATAAAAAGGTTTGTCCTTCTCTGAATGTGTTTGCCAGGCCTCAAATACATCGTTTAGACCCTACAGGAAATTTACCTAAAGAGAAGGTATGATAAGGCCACATTTTTGGTCCCATTAATTTGAAAAATCAAAAAGTGTTATAAATCCATAAATAAAACACATCAGATGTTCACAAGACTGTAACAAGTCTGTCGGATTTATAAATTGTGTTTTACATATTTGCTATTGGGTTTCAAAATTCTTGTATTTCAGGCAGATACAAAATCTGCCAAAATAACCTAAGTTTAGAGCTTATCAATTTTTAAAGATATCAGCCAAGACTTTACCCAAAAAGATATCTTCCATAAAGATGTCTTTTACAGAAATGCTAATTTTTGTCAATTATCTTTTTGGGTAAGGCCTTGGCTCATATCTAATTTTACCAAAAACTATGGGTAAAAATGCCTTTTAAGGTCAAAAACATCGATTTAATGATGTCATAGTGAAGTCACAACTGATTTTTCTGAATTGAAGTGTCCACATTATAACACACTATTCATCAGTGGAAGTAGCATTATTTTGAAACGATTGAAGAATGTTATCCTTGGAACAATTTAAAATTTTGCAAGAAAATTAAGGAGGATATGAAATGCCTTTTAACAATGATATCTTTTAATTTATTGTAAATAATTAAAGTTTCCAAACACATGAGCTTTTATTTTTGCATACTTTAAAATTATTTGAAAGGCAAATTGAAAAACAAATGTTTGTAGACCCAAAAGTCTGTCATATTTTTTTTAGTAAATTGTCAATGATAAATCTTTCTAGACCACTTTAAAAAACATATATGACGTTAATGGCTAATTGTCACACATGGATATCACAAGGCTGTCAAGTAGTCAACTTGGTTTTACTGCTCTGGAAAAAACAATCCTATCATTGTTTTTGTTTGACCTAGCCATATGTGACACCAGTTAAATTTTCGTGGTTTAAATTGTCAAAGATACAATAAGTCTAGGTAAAAGTGACTAACATGTGATTTCTTGAATAATTTGTACACAATACACAAACATTATGTAACATTTTAACTTATCAATACACAAACATTGTGTAACATTTTAACTTATCAATACACAAACATTATGTAACATTTTTGACTGTCAATAAACAGAGTGATATTCTATGTTCATTTTGTCAATTTATCTTTCTGTCTCTTCTTTCTATTCCTTTTGAAAGATTTAGCAGCACACATGTCCAGGTAGACTTTATTCTTCTTTATCAAGGACTCCATGTATGTTATTTCTACAAAAAATTGTGGACTTCTGTGATTACTTTTATTGGTAACTAAGTTTCTTTAAGTTCTGAGTATTGCTAAATGTTGGCGTGTTCTTAAATTTGTGGCTAAAGATGTAGCCTATTACATATATTTTTGAAAGATTGTGTATTGTGGGAAATACAATTTCTGAATTGTCCTTTTGCTTGTTTTGGTCAATAACAAAATTTGGTTTTCTGTCAAAATAACTCTTGTAGGTAGCACATAGCGTCTGCATAATGTCCCCTCCCCAGTATGAAAGGTTCTCTCTTATTTTTTGACAGATTTCATGCGCAATTAACTTTTCTAGCAAATTGTAACCTTCTGTAGAAAAGTCATATCCATTATTCAGCCAATATATGACATGTTCTATACTGAATAAACATTGTCACTACAAGAAAAAGCCCAGCAAAAAACTAGAAAACTGAGCAAAATTCACAAATACAAATCCTGCTACCCCATTTGTATGGAAGTGGCAATGTCCATGGCTGTACACTGTCAATCACAGATTCTGTGAAGTTTCATTGAAAGCTGGTCTTTAATTTAGGAAGAGTTATGGATAGAAAGTCAGATTGGTCAAATGAATAAACAAAGGGACACAATAATCACTACGTACCTACCTTCAGTTTTATATAAATCAGGGTAAAATTTAAAATGTGAATTATTTAAATTTGCTTATGAAAATAATGGTATTAATTATTTTTGGGGTGTTAAAAATTCTTAAGAGGTTTTAGATAAAATACATGTTTTTGATGGTCCTTTTGGTTCTGTTGACAGTTATGATTTTTCTACTCTCTACACTACACTTCCACACAATCTAATAAAGAGAAAATTTTCATATCTAATAAAATGGTCTTTCGAAAAATCTCATTGTAAATTTATTTGCTGTAACTCATTTAAAGCCTTTTTCTGTGACGAAAAAGGAAAGTATGCTAGATACACTTACTGGAAATGTGAGGATATGATTGAAGCTTTAAATTTTCTCCTAGATAACATATATGTACGTTTCAGCGATAAAGTGTATCGTCAGGTAGTAGGTATTCCTATGGGCACTAACTGCGCCCCTTTAATAGCAGATTTATTCCTGTATTGCTATGAATCTCAGTTTATGACCAAACTCAGTAGAGACACATCATTGTTACATTTGATACATTCAACAATACCTACCGTTATCTGGATGATATTTTTTCGTTAAATAATCCAGAGTTCTCTAAATATACTACCGAAATTTACCCAAAAGAACTTACTTTAACTAAATCTAACATAAACAGCAGCAGTTGTCCTTTTCTAGATTTAGACATTTCAATTTCTAAAGGGAAACTCCATACTAAAATTTACGACAAAAGAGACGATTTTTCATTCCCTATTGTTAATTTTCCTTTTTTAGACGGCGATGTGCCTTTGGCTCCATCATACGGTGTTTATATATCCCAACTCGTTCGGTATGCCCGTGTGTGTGTAGTGATTTGATAGATTTTAACGAACGTAGTCAATGCATCACTGGTAAATTATTAAGTCAGGGATTTCGTTACCATAAATTACTTAAAACTTTTACTAAATCCTTTCATAGATACAAAGATTTGATTAGTAAATTTGGCTGTACCTGTAGAAAACTTATTAAAAATGGTATTTCACATCCTAAATTTTATGGTAATATTGTACTTAAAGCGCGGAAATCATTATGTGATCCGTGTAAACTCATCGAACCTTTAAACAAAGTTATTAGTAAGGGTTATCGGGTTATCGTACCAATGTTGTAATTAGATCTCTGAATATATTTTACATTGGCACTAATATTGATTTTGTCATTAGCAAATTAAAACATAACTAAATTTGTATTTTCTTTTCAAACGGGATGTATAGAGACACACACACGTTCATTTTTATCTATAAAGAAGTTACTCCTAACTATCCTACTACCTGTCGATACATTTATTTTTGGCATTGCACAAGTCATGTCTTCTTTGACTGTTCATGGCGTTAAAATACTAAATCCCTGGGATGTATTTTAGTTGATTTTAGTCTCTGATGCATGATTTTTTATTATTAATTGTTTTGGCTTTTAACTAGCTGTCAGTAACTGCGAGTACTCTCAAATCGTACTTTCTTTTTAATTTGACCTGTTGATACTATTTGTAATGCTTTTATGTTATTTAATGTTAACATGGATCTTGTCTATATACCAGCTTTGATTATTTGGTATTTAATTACTACAAATTTTCACTTCTTCGTACTATGAACATCAAAATTATTTCATTTTTCCTTAGATGCTGTTCTTGGACCTGTACAGGATGTTTTATCTAGCACTAATTGTATATTTTTATTTTTGATATTCACCCCATATGTACCAAGTGTTAGATTAGTTTTATTGATATTAAAGAAATTTCTTGGTAATCCTAAACGGAAGATTTTATACACACAGAAGAAGAAGTATACTTAACAACAAAATTATTTTCATTTACCTGTGTATAATATGACGCAGGTTTCTTCAAAAGTGATGATTTTCTATAAATTGTTTGAAATTTCACAGTGATATCATACTTTAACTTTGTTTAAACCTCCCATACAGAAAAAATGATAGGATGGCCAACTGCATTGCTCAACTGGCCGCCAGTTGAACAAACAGTTGAGGGCCAGTTGAGGGCTAGCTGGCCATCAGTTGAGCAAATAGTTGAGGGCCAGTTGAGGGCTACCTGGATTTTTGCCATGCAAATTAGGTAGCCCTCAACTATCAAATGCTCAACTTTATGCAAATTAGTTGAGCAAGGTTGAGAAAATATCATAGTTGAGGGCTAGGTGTCCAACAGTTGAGCAATTAGAGTTGAGGGCTACCTGGCCAACAGTTGAGGACCAGGTCATTAAAAGTTGAGGGCTAGGTGGCCAATAGTTGAGGGCCAGGTCATTAAAAGTTGAGGGCTAGGTGGCCAATAGTTGAGGGCCAGGTCATTAAAAGTTGAGGGCTAGGTGGCCAATAGTTGAGGGCCAGGTCTTTAAAAGTTGAGCATTACATGTATCTGGTCATTGCAAACTGATGACTACACATTGTAGAAAAAATAAATTTAAATTGTGTATTTTATATAGCCAAAATACTGCTGAATGATCTTAACACACAACAGACTACATGACAGCTTTATCCTTGCTTTTTAAAAGTTATTATCTAGTAAATAAAATCTAGTTAATCCTGCAGCCATATTAATCTTTATGCAAGGAGAAGTATTTAGATATATATTGAAATACTCAAAACAGAAAGTGTTGTTCAACCAGAAAAAAAAAAAAATATATATTTATCTGTCATTTGTGGATAGATGTCTTATTTGCAGTCATACCCCAGATCTCTAGTTTTATACCAAATTCATTATATTAGAATATTCTTATTTTACTAGTAATACTTTCTAAAACAAATTGTCTTAATAATAAAATAAATATGTCTCCTGTCTTACACATTTTGATAATATATAAATTAATGCATAAATATATTGTCTAAAATTTTCTTCACTCTAAAAAGTTAAGAAGACACTTTAAATATCACTATTGTGAGCTAAAAGAGCATATACACTTATTCAAATGGTGGAAATTCTAATCCAATGTACTTACCAAAAGATGTTTCCATAAATATGTGTTAAAACATCAATCTTCCTAAATCCAAGAGTCATGTCATCAGAAGAATACACTGCACTATTCAATGTCAATACAGTTATTTGTAACTTTTTGATCTACATCCATTGTAAAATTCATATTTTATTCATGATAGCTAGAAGACATCTTTGCTTGCCATGTGCATGCTCAAGCCCAGTTAAAATTTTAAATGTTTGAGGTTGTTTAGGGTATTTTGACAGTGTGATCCCTTTGAAATTTGCCCCTAATAATAACTGTTAATTACCTAAATCATGAATATTTGATATATCTTATAATAAAAAAAGTACTGTTTGTTTTTTTAATTTATCTTTATGTTATGAGTTATAGTTAAGTTAAAATACAGAAAAATGTATAAAAACATGTGCTTCCCTTAATTTGGCCTCAAACTCTGTGTACATTTATAATAGTACTTCCTGTCTACTTGCATTATACACAGAGATTAATGGAAAACAGATGGCACATAACATTTATATCACCAGCTCATATTTCTAATTGCTCAACTTTTGCTCAACTATATGAAAAGTTAAACCAAAGATCAATTGCTCAACTTTTCCTCAACTACAAAAAAAATCAAAGTCTGAATGCTCAACTTTTCCTCAACTACAAAAAATTCAAAGTCTGAATGCTCAACTTTTGCTCAACTATATGAAAAGTTAAACCAAAGATCAATTGCTCAACTTTTCCTCAACTACAAAAAAACTCAAAGTCTGAATGCTCAACTTTTCCTCAACTACAAAAAATTCAAAGTCTGAATGCTCAACTTTTGCTCAACTATATGAAAACCAAAGATCAATTGCTCAACTTTTCCTCAACTTAATGGCCAGCTTCAGTTGAGGGCCAGTTGAGCGACATCTATCAAACATACAGTGCTTGGCCAGGTTTGAGTTGAGCTAAGATGCTCAACACCTAGCCCTCAACTATTTTGCTTAAAACAGCTAGCCCTCAACTGTCCGCCACATGGCCCTCAACTTTTTTTTCTGTATGGGCTGTTTATTTACTTTTGACTTTAATTATTTATTCCTTGTGAAAATGACAATCATGACACCAATTGTTGTATTTACTGGTAAATGAATTCTCAAAAACATTCTACTGAATTTACTGTGAAGTTATGATGTTGCATATGGGCCTTAACAAGAATTGCTTGATATTCAATTCTATTGGTCTAAAAATTAAAAAGCATTTTAGGCAATATTTAATGTTATCTCCCCTGCCAGCAGAGCTCTTGAGATTATATTGGGGTCTCGGGTTGATACGGATGTGATATTGGAAAAGCCATATGATATTCTCTATATATTGTGAAAGGTGACAAAAAAGGGGAAGTAACTCAAATTTATTGTCAAACAACTTTGAAATAGGCAAATTATTTATGACCTTAAGCTAAGGTAATTGGTGTTAATTAACAGTGTGTTTGACACCAACGCTGTCAAGTGAAGCAATGCATTTAATGGGTCACTTAATTTGACAGTTAACACAGCTAGTTGAACTTCCTGTCCAGGAAGAATCACGTATGTGCCAGTATTTCAAATGAAAATCACTTATGAAATCAGTCTAAAGGCTCAAGAATCTGGGTGAAAACGAGTCATTTTTTGAATTCCCGGGTTATTTAACAACAAGGTATGGGGTGAAATTCTTGGGTGTGACCCGCAGGATACTGGTTAGTTGACAGTTATGCCAATACCGTATAGTAAGTTATAAAAGACTCTGCCACTCCAGCATACCAAATGTGAAACAATTAAAATGAATAACTAACTGATGTATGCTAAATCAATAAACAAAAAATATATTAGACAGCAACCAATGACAACCACTAGATAACAGGATCCTGAACTGGGACAGGAACATAATGGGCAAATAATATTCCACCCAAACTGAAGCTAGAAACTGCAATGAGTTTAATCCATGTTGAAGGCCATGCTTGGACTTATTATGAGCAGCAGAAATAAAAGCATTTTCTTCTGAAATGCATCTTGGGATTTTATGTCATAAAGGGATCAAAGGGCATCGGTAAAAGGTTTATTCAAAGGTTTACATGTATTTTGTATAGTGAATATGAATTATTGTTTTTCTTCTATTGAAAAAATGAAGAAAGAATCAAATATTTATAACTAAAGCACACAATTACTTTTATAATTCTCCCTTTTCCTCACTTGCAATTCAAAATCTTGCTTAATTTGTTAAGCCCTTTTCATCAGACATTTCAATTGAACAGAATGAAAATGGGCAGTCTAAAGAAAATCAATATAATGTCACATTTTGTGAAACGATGTGATAGTGATAATTTTGTTTTTGCATTTCATTGAGCAAGTGGTCTTTTAACACAAAAATACTTTCTTCATATGAGAAATAAACCATGTACACTATTTTCTATGTAATATTTCTTTTGTCCATGAGCATATATGTATAATTCTGAATCTACTGATATCTTATTTTCTCTTTTCTGAGTTAATTTAAGACTGTATTATTAAATAAAATGTGTGCATAGTGCACACTTGTTATTCTAGAATTCAAACTTCTAAGCAGCTGGTAGGAATTCATATAGTAAGTTACAAGCCAGAAATTCTAAAAAAAAAAGAAAAAAGAATGGATTATATACAAATATTTGAGACGGAGTTTAGTCCTTCAATAGATCCCTAGAACTGATTTCTTTACTCAGTATAGTCAGTAACAGATTGTAAAAAAATGAACTTAAACCAAGAATTTGACCTATCGAATGAGACTTATCACCTGGTTTGTACTTACAAGAGCAACACGATGGGTGCCACATGTGGAGCAGGATCTGCTCACCCTTCTGGAGCACCTTAGATCACTGCCAGTTTTTGGTGGGGTTTGTGTTGCTTAGTCTTTAGTTTTCTATGTTGTGTTTTGTGTACAGTTGTTTGTCTTTTGGTAATTTTTCCTTTTTTAGCTGTGGCTTTGTCAGTTTATTTTTGACTAATGAGTTTGAATGTCCCATTGGTATCTTTTACCTCTCTTTTATATTGCTGCCCAGTGACCAAATTACATTCAGGAAGATTTATAGCTAAAATACAGCCATACAATATAAATTATTTGTATTATTTTTATGTAAACATAAAAGCTTGCTGTTTGGTGTGAGCCAAGGCTCTGTGTTGAAGGCCGTACTTTGACCTATAATTGTTAACTTGTCTCATTGGCACTCATACCACATCTTCTTATTTATATGTCTGTTTTATAAATAGCATATTACTTCTCTTTAACCTATCATGGGCAAGTAACTCTTGCATCAGACTCCTCATCATATCAATTCTTATGTCCTTCATTACTATCATCATTCTACTGAAAATATTCTTCTCTTGACTTATCTCTGAAAATATATTTATACAAAAATTCAGAAAATATTTCAATACAACATAGTATGAAAATATATATATGTTGCAGGCATTTTGTAAAATGACTGAATTAAAGGCAATATATATAAAATGCCTAACCTTGACAGGCATTATATTTAAAAATGAATGAAGATACCTTTTAATTTTATAAAATGACTGACATTTTGAAACAAGATTCAACAAAGAGCCGGTTAAGTTTCAGTTAATTTGTAGAAAAGGGATATCATTGAGATACATATGACCAAAAACACAATATCTTGCAAAGAAAATAACTAATGGTTGGTTAAAATTGATTATTCTTCAAATAACAGTATAATTAGTTTCTTTTTAGTGAAACTGCATTAAGTATGTACTAACTCTGATAGGAATTTAATGATTTTCTTGTCATGATACCAGAAGGACAAATTGTTTTTACAATAGAACAAAATTTACAAACAAATTTTTAGAAAATCTAGATTCAAAACAGAAGTGGGTAATATGAAGAAGAGAAAAAGAAAGATGATTTTTCAGTCTGATTGTTGTTTGTTTGTATTCAGAAATAATTTCCTGCATATTTAGGACAAGAACAAATCAAATAGATAAGTTCTGCAAAAATTTCTACTGCAACTTGAAATGAAGGTATGTTGGATATGTGACTATGTCCGTAAAAGTTGCCTTCCAACAGGCCACCTACGGAACGGACATATGAGGCATCATATTTAGTGTCACCATTCAGAAAGAATGCAAATTTATCCATCCTGCACAGCCCAGCGGATTCCTTTCTATAGAATGGGTTTCACCATACAAGGCAATGTTTGGTTGTGATGCAAAAGATATGGGTATCTTCATCTTCAATGCCTTAAGGGCATTTTTGTTTTTGCCTAAAGGGAATTCTTGGGTCTTTACAATATGATGAATCAAGGTGACAGTAGTTTACCATGTTAAACCTCGATATTCATCAAGGAGAGACAAAACAAGCTAACCGTGAAACAAAATTTGAGGGAGTCATATGAACTCTATAACAAAGACTGGGTGTGTCAACAGGGTAAGCATCTCTTGCTATGCTTGCATCACCCGCCATGCAAAGATTTACTTCAGCATGTTGAATGCTCTGATAAGACAAAAGATGTAAAGTCAGCCTAAGTATGCTAATGTTAATTTGAATCTTTTGGGAACACATGAAAAAGAATATATTTGTGCATGTGCTGTTTGTGAAACCCCATGTTTTTCACGGGTTAAGTGTTTATCAGAAAAAGTATTATTGTAGTACTTGAACCATTTTTAAAATAAATGAAGAATGTGTCTTTGGGACACAGATGCCCCCGCTTTTAAATATACGGCAAATTCAGAAATTTATCAATTTACAAAGGGACAACTTTAAAATGGTGAGAGTGATGCTACAAAAATTCAAACTTGATCTGTGATTGGAGGTAATAAGCATTGTGTATGAGTTTGGTATCATTTGGTTGAGGCGAATTAAAGTTGGAGTCTGGAAACGCCAAATTTAGCAATTTTTCCATTTATAAAGGGACATAACACTAGAACAGTGAAAGTGACACCACCCAAATTTTAACTTGATCTTTGTTTGATGGTAATAAGCATTGTGTATAAGTTTCATAACATTTTGTTGAGGCAAACTAAAGTTAGAGAACGGAAACTAATTTTGGGATGACAGACATCTTTTATAAAGTGCCGGAAAAAATTACTGAATACATAAAATATCTGAATCTTACAGGCATTTTAAAAAATGCCTAAATTTAGAAAATGCCTGTAACTAACATATATCTTTAAAAATTCAACATATTTCTTTTTTAAATTGTATTTATGCAATTTATTCTGAAAAAATATTCATCTTCGAAAATGCAATAGCTTATGATAATAATCTCTGTAAATGTATGTACACAATGATTATACATTCTGAAAAGATTTTTCCAGATACCGCTACTTATCTGTGTAAATGCATTCATTTATTAAGATTCTCAAAATATTTCTCTCTGGGCTTAATTGTATGAACTCTGTATAAAAATACTTTTACTGTGTGTAAATTGTATACAAATGATTGAAGCTTAAATAACACTGCTTATCTTTACTTTTAGGCTTATAAGTGACAAATTTTTATATGATTAACAAGAATGTGTCCATAGTACATGAATGCCCCACTCGCACTATCATTTTCTATGTTCAGTGGACCGTGAAATTGGGATCAAAATTCTAATTTGGCATTAAAATTAGAAAGATCATACCATAGGGAACATGTGTACTAAGTTTCAAGTTGATTGGACTTCAACTTCATCAAAAACTACCTTGACCAAAAACTTAAACCTGAAGCGGGACAGACGGACGGACAGACGAACAGACGGATGAACGATCAGACGCACAGACCAGAAAACATAATGCCCCTACTACTATCGTAGGTGGGGCATAAAAATGAACTATGTTTGATCTGCATAAAAAAATAAACAACTGTTTAGAATATGCCTTGATGTTAAAAGTAAGATACAAGTTTTGTTATCTGGAACAAATACATAACACTAAAGAATAACTGATTGTTTTTTTGTTTAACATACAGTCACAAATATTTCATGCATATCAAGAACAAACAAAAAACCCCAGTAAATCTAATTGGAAGGTTCTGCAAATTGAATTGATCAGAATTAAAGAGTGGAAAAATTTAGAACTTATATTAGATTGGGGGTAGAAACTTTGCCTTGCTACAGACCATCTAAGGAAAAATAAAAGAAATAGATTTGGATAAGGTGGTTCTATAACTAGGTGAAAAGTTCAAATAACTGTGGATGTGAAAGACCTGTAATACTATAGATAAATACCATGATAGAAGTACCAGATATGTGGGTAAGGAGGGTCTGTGACTGGATGGTAAGATTTAACAAATGGATTTGGTCCCTCACTAAAAACATTAGCATCCATTCGGTCCATGACAGTTTCGAAGTCTTCTGTACCCAAACTACATAAAGCTTTTAGGCAACTTTTGTACATTCCACTATTCTTTACATACTCCAAAGCTTGGAAATTTTCATTAGACCAGTCTTCATCTAATTCTATACTTTGGCTTAGAGAACTGTTGTCATTAAGGTTATTATTTTCATCCGTTTCGTTACCATCTACGATAATAACATCATCATTTTCACTTTTGTTCAAGTTTTCCTCATTTGCTGGTTTCATGTCAGTACATGTATATACTTTCCCATCTGTACTTATTTTTACAATTTTAGTTTTTTTCTGAGGTGGCTCTTCTTTTGAAGGTGATTGAGATATTTCCTTTGACTGAACTTGTAATTTCTGTTTTGATGTGAGTTTCAAGGAGGAATTGCCTTTCTCTAAAGGTACCTTTATCACCATGTTTGGTTGATGTTTAATTTCATCATTCGATTTTGATGAAGTTGAAACTTTATTCATATCATCAGTTTGACTATTTTTTGCCATGTTTTGCAATAGAGTTGAAAATTGCATTTGTGATAAGTTAATAGTCTTTGTAATGTTTCCAGATACATTAACACTAGAGGCAACCTTCCCAGTAACACCACTAACTCCTGGTGCAGATGAAACATTCATAACTGGTATACACAATGATCTCATGTTACCTGTGTTGCCAGTTGTTGCTGTGTTCTGTGACATGGTTCCCTGTTGGCTTACAACTGGAAGTAGTAGTCCTAACTGGTACTGACCAGTATCTGTTCCATTTTTAAGTACAGACACTGGAAATGGACCAATTGAAATGATCTCTGATTTATTTGATGTTGCAGTGGAGGCTGTGACTGTTGTCGATTTTTGTATCATCTGCACCAAAGAGGGCAATTTGTTTACAAGTATTTTTTTCTTCTTTTTTAGTTTAACTTTATATTTTTCATTCTTTTTAACTTTGCCATTAGCATTTGTACTGGAAGTGGAAGGGTCACATGCTTGACTGTTATCATTTGTTTCCCCTTGGATGTGTTTGGTAACTTCCTGTTCATTTTGGATTTGACTACTAACCACTGTTGGTTCTCCCATTATGAAACATTTTCTTGTAAACCTTTTTACTGTATCTTCATATTCTTCAAAGAAATAAAAAATGATAAAATCTGCAAGCTCTGAATTAATATTCAATATCAATATTAAACCCTAGTTCTTGAATATACATACAGTAAACCATATTCTAATATTCAATATGTTAATCAGGACATGAAATCATATAAAAAAGGAGATGTGGTATGATTGACAATGAGACAACTACCCACCTGAGTTCAGAAGGTTGAGAATGTAAACAACTATAGGTCACCATTTGACCTTCAACAATAAGCAAAACCCATACCATTTAGCATGGTATAAAAAGCCCTGGCATGACAAAATGTAAACAATTGAAAAGATAAAACCAACAGCCTGATTTACTGGTATGTATAAAACAATAAACGAAATTACTTGATATTTAGGAGAAAATAAAAATTTGACAATTTTTCCATTTATAAAGGGGCATAACTCTAGAAAGGTTAAAGTGACGCCACCAAAATTCAAACTTGATCTGGGTTTTGTAGTAATAAGCATTGTGAATAATTTTTATAACATTTGGTTGAGGCAAACTTAAGTTAGAGAACAGAAACTAAAAATTTTGCAATTTTTCCATTTATAAAGGGGCATAACTCTAGAACGGTTAAAGTGACGCCACCAAAATTCAAACTTGATCTGTGTTTTGTGGTAATAAGCATTGTGCATAAGTTTCATAACATTTGGTTGAGGCAAACTCAAGTTAGAGAACGGAAACCAATTTTGGGACGTACGGACGTACGTACAGATGGACAAGGGTAAAACTTAATGCCCCCTCCGCTACAGCGGGGGCATAAAAATATATGATAGACAGCAAATGACAAGCACTAAATTACAGGCTCCTGACTTTGAATAGGCACATACAGAATGTAGCTGGGTTAAACAGTGTTCTCCCAGGGTGTTTTAGCATCAGGATTTGTGTGATGCTATCCAAAATGATTTTCTTATAGACAATGTTATTTAAATGTCATGCTATATATAGTTTCTAGTAACTAGATGGTATTTCATAATTCCCTGTTTACCAGGATGCTACTGTGAATTGAGAATTTATTGCGTGCATTTATTAATGCGATTTTTGAAAAATGGACAAAAATGTGAGATTAATTATTGCAATTTCAGGAAAATCTGCATACAGATATATGTATCAGATATCAGATTGAGAGTTCTTATCATTGCAATATTCACCAAGTCGCATTATTCGCATTGATAAAAACCTCGCAATAATTTCTGAATTTACAGTATAGGAAATTTGTGAGAACACTCTGAGTTAACATGTTTGAGAGCACTCAATCTTTCCCTTCACCTTGGACAGTGGTGTGACAGCACAGAATAAGAATAAACTATAAAATTCAGTACTTATCATATTGGCACAATTTACTATCATATCTATAAGTCTGACCTAACCCTTAAGATCATAGATAGTTTTGATCCCACAGTGATTTCTTTACAAATATTGTATACAAGCCATTTTTTACCTGATGGCTAATCAATTCAAATATGTACTAAAAAATATAGCTTCATGTGCTAATTTTAGAAATAATTGGGGTCTAAATTTAAGATTTTTTATACTCATTTTTATTTTTAAATGTCTATCCTTTACACAGAAAACCCGAACTTTTTGTTTGAAAAGATAAAACCATGCAGATTTTGGAAAAGCATTTGGAATATATCTTCTTTACATAAGTATGATCTAAATTTTTTTAACATATCTTCGGAAACTGCTATGTCACACTTATGTAAAAAATAACATTATATGTTTGGGACGTTTTTACCTCCCTTGTAACTGTATCTTACACCCTTAACTGTGTAGGCTTGAACACAAAATTATATATAAAATTGTTTTATGAAATATTTCAAAATATTTTGCTGAAAATTTACCAATTTGTATAAAATATCAACTGTTGACACAGAGATATGTCTCGCTTTTAGTAATTTTGATAGTAAAATGCAAATGTTGAAATTAAAATGGCAATATTTAAACATGTAAACTATGCAAATCATTCAAAGCCAATGAACCATGACTGAAGGTGCGGGGACAAATAACCTCCATGGAAATGAGAAATGCAGATGCTTATAAAACTGCATACCAGAAACCATTAAGTTATCGTAAGTAGTTCCATTAAATTAACCGAAACACAAACTTTAACTTGTTAAATATGAAAAAGTTTTAGTCAATAAACAACTTGCAAATGCTTATACAACTGCATACCAACTATCATTGACTTAATATAAGTGGTTTATGTTGAACTGATATAATCACAAACTTTAGCATGTAAACTATGCAAAATATTCAAAGTCAATAGACCATGACAGGGGTAGTAGCCAAAAAATCTCCAAGGAAATGATATGTGACAATGCTAATACCAAATACCATTGACATACCACTAGTGGTTCCCCATAAACTTACCTAATCACAAAATAATACATGTTAACTAAGCAAAAGTTTCATAGTTAATAGACCATGACTGAGAGGGAGGGGCCAGATAATCTTAATGTATCTACTTTACTTATTTTTTTCTACAGCCATAAAAACCATAGTTACAATCTGCCTTATAGAAACTTCTTTAACAAAACCAACTAAAAATTATGAGCCACGATTTGTGTTTACACATGTTGGTCTGGATGGGGTTTACAGAATATAGAATAAACTGCTTCGCTGAGCGCAGCTGGATACGCCCGCAGAGGTCCAGCCCTGAACAGTTGGGGCAAAAATGGACACAATATTCAAGCTTGATACAGGTCTGAATTTGGATTGTATTAAATATTTGACATATTATAGGTTTCTGAATAAATGTAGTCAAAGAACTTGAAATTGGTTATATGAATTGAATTTATATTCAATTAAAGATTTCTTGCTGTTGTGCAATACACTGTGCTGTTGCGCAATACTTAGTAAATCTGTTGTCAGACTATAAACAGGGGCGGATCCAGGATTTTGGCAAGGGGGGGAGAATTATGTAAAGATTGCGAAAAAATTTTTGGCTAAAAAACATAAAATAAGTGTAAAATGCACTTTTTAACGGTTCCTGACGTAAGGCATGTATATTTTATATTTAAAGTGTAAGGGTTGGACATTTTTGATGCCGTATTCTCCCCATTAATTGTCTATTATAAAATGATTGGATGGATCCAAAGCTATGTACTAATATATTTGATATGGGACTTGTCAGTAAAAAATTGACATGGAAAATTCTCGTTTGTTGTATGTTTAGTTAGCATAATGTCACGGATTTCTTGTTGTAAACAAGATATACGCCGGGCTATTCAATGAAATTTACAATACGACCGACACGACACGAGTTAAGAAAGACAAACAAGCAATTTTTATCCAAATGTTTGGTTGAAATGACGGTCGACAATTGGAGACATAAAGGCCGCACCCGGCAGGCAGGTTGCAGTCGGGCCTTGAAAAAAATATTCATTTTATCAGTTCGACGAAACAGACATTCAGGTAAAATATGGGATTTACATGCAAATCCCTCGGCCCCAAAAAAATGACGCCAGTTTTTTTATTCATCGTGTTCATTTAATGCTAAATAATTCTGTTGGAAATTTTTGTTTCTAATAGCAAAAAAAGTGGACAAGATTATTGTTTTCTATCCAGATACGGCCAGAATTTTTGTTTAAGGCAAAAATCAGGGTCAGAATTTGTTCTCTCAAGCATCTCAGACTGCCCCCTCAAATCAAATGGTCCGTACCATAGACTTTAAATCTATCTAGAGCTTATTGACTGGGGATCATTATTCAGCTATGTTATTAATAGGCTGGGCGTGTTGGGTTAAACATGTTTTCGTAGGTAAATAATATTGCTGTGGAACTTTTTTTCATGAAAGTGTAATAGAGTATGACTTTCTGTTCGGTGGAATTGTGAAATAGAAGTCAATAAATACGTTCTTGCTCAATCCTTTGTCTCTTTGAAGGTGTCATGCTTGTCATCCTCAGCCTAAGCAATGTGTTACTGTAATTTGAATTTCAAAATGACTGAGTGACGTTTTTTCGACGCACTGGTCAACTCCACCATAGCGAATCACATGATTTTGACATAATCAATAATATAATTACAGTAAATACGAGCGAAAACATATCTTTATAAGTAAAGAATTGTCGCATAAAAATTAAATACGCGGAAAATGGAAAAGTTCACGAAGTCTAGTCTGATTAATCATTTTACAAAAAAAACAAAAAAACAAAAAAAAAAGTGCAAGCAAAGGGGGGCGTATGCCCTCTACGCCCCCCTCTGGATCCGCCACTGATAAACAACTAAAGTTCAATTAATTCTCAATGTCATATTAGAAATTTATGAAAATGTAAAGGAAGCTTTAATCAATAGATATAAATAATTCACGAAAGTTTCATGAGAATTGCTGACGTATTTTTGAGTTATTGTCCGAAAACTGGAAAATCCCCCCTTTTTTAATGAATAAAACCCCATAACTCAGAAATGTAAAATGTGAAATTTATAAAATTCTAAACGGAGCTTACATCAATAGTTATAAACAATTCACCAAAGTTTCATAAGAACTTCTGAAAGCATTTTTGATTTTTTGTCTGAAAACTGGAAAATCCCCCTTTTTTATATGACCGCAAAAATATTTTTGTGGTCGAATAATGGTATGACGTTGGCGTAGTCGTCGTTGTCGTCGTCTGGCGTCGTCGTCCGAAGACACATTAGTTTTCGCACTCTTACTTTAGTTTAAGTGAATGGATCTCAATGAAATTTTACCATAAGGTTCAATACCACAAAAGAAAGGTGGGGATTGATTTTGGGGGTTATGGTACCCACAGTTAAGGAATTAGGGGCCAAAAATAAGCATTTTTGTAACTTCCAGACATAACTTGTGTGTAAGTGTATGGATCTCTTTGACATTGTACCACAAGGTTCCATATCACAAAGGGAATGCTGGGATTGATTTTGGGGGTAATTGCCTCCAAATTTTAGGAATTAGGGGCAAAAAACAAGCATTTTTCTAGTTTCATGACAATAACTTGTGTGTAAGTGTATGGATCTCTCTGA